TACTACCAAGCCGAGAGAACCTATTCTCTCATTTTGTCAAGACTGAGGCAGTGTATCTAGTAGACATATCCTGTTTTAGGGACATTCATAAATGCAAATATTTTATTAGCTGAGTATTATTTGTTAAGAGAATCTGGGGAATAATAATGCTTAGGACCTATCTGCAAGAGCCTTGGTCAAGAAGAAGAGGCACAATACGGTTTGCTCTCCAAATGGACTTGAAAATCCCTGATCCCTTTCCCCCTCTCCTGGTTAGTCTGTCCAAACTCAGATTACAGGAACTGTGGAGGAGAGACTTTCTACGACAGGAAAGGTGCAAAGAAGAAAGTTCACTTTGATCAATCCAAATTGGTAATTCATGTTTAGCATGGGGTCAGTTCAGAAATACTCAGGCACTTCCAGCACACAGACCAGCCCTCAGTCCTGGCACTGAACATGGGGAGTGAAGAAGCTGAGCATGGAGAGTTTTAACCAGCAATAGGTCCTTTTAGCCCCTGCCCTTGGATTACCCATAGTAGTGAAAAGTTTGGGGAACTAAACCATTTTTCTTACTGGATCTTGGCTGGAGAACTTCCTCCTTACCCCTGGATCCTTGTGTGTGTGCTGGAAGAAAAAGGTAAATTAGGCGGACATCCTATTGTCTCAGCTGAAACTAGAACACAGACATTAATCCTGTATTCGCCTTGAGCCACAAGAAATAACAGAAGCAAAAACTGAAAAACAGTGAAGTAGTAAGTTTCTTATGGGGTTCAAAAGTATTAAAAGCATGTATAATGCGGGGGGAAGAATGGGTAACAGAATGGGGAAGAGCAAAGAGTATTACTTTCTACTTCCTCCTAATCTGGAATGTGACTTAGTAAGTTTACACTGTTCTGCGTATGGTAAGTATCACATCCTGAATACTAAGTACAGCTACAAGTGTACTAGGTTTGCAGTAGTATTTTTACTTCACACGCCTGAAATTAGGAAAACTTAAAATCAATATGCATGATGCACATTGACAATACCTGGTTCCTTAATACCAAGTTCTGATAAATTGTAGATTTATTTTAATGTTCTTTAACCATGATCTAAATATATGTACTCAAAAACTCTTCAGTCACTAGTGACAAGATTTAAAAAACAACAACAAAGGAAACAAAAAAGAATCAACAAAACAAGCAACAAAACTTTGGAGCTAATTTCTCTTCCTTTCTAGATGTTCCCTTAGCCATTTACTGAAGCCCCTTTACATTAGAAATTTCTAGTGCATAGACAACAGTAATCCAAAACAGAGGACATATTTTCTAGAACAGGAGAAGTGTCTAACTTTTACTGTGTGTGTCTGTGTGCACACGTTGTGTTCAAAGTAATATCTAGTAAGATTACGCCACACTCCTCAGATGCCTGGGAGATCAAAACAGGCTAAACAGAACGGGCAAATGTGGCAACAAGGAGCTTTCCCTCCTGCACCACAGCGGACTACAGAACATTAGGTAACAGGGTTGGGCAAGAAGAGGAAAAGAGAGGCTACCTTGTTTCTAGGGTTAAAATCGTTTTCCAAAGTTCTTTATGTTCAGTTTAATAGTTTCTGCACTTTTTTTTACTCCCTTGCCCAACAAAACACATAGTTCAAATCACCCCATCACTAACATTTTTTGTTACTGCTCTACTAGCATCTCACACCTGTTTGTAAGCTCCCATGACTGACGAAGTACCCGGATGTTACTGCTGGAACTGCTGCCCGGCACAGGCTCAGCTAACAGCAGGGGCCTGGGGTGGCACACCCTTCGTGGGCCACAGTCATGGTCTCAGGGCAAGGTAGGGGGCCTTGAGGGCAGGGGGCCACAAAGCGCAAGCAGAGAGCTTGGCAACAGCACTGGTCTGTGGAAGCCAAGAATCAGGTCGAGAGCTTTCAGAGTCTGAATTACTACCTACGAAATTAATACGGTATCAAAAATTTGAATTTAAGAAGGTTCTGTCTAAGGTAAAGGGACTGAGTAAACCCTGAATCCAAATCCCGCCAAGGCTGAATAATCTAAGTAAAGCCTGCAGTCAGACCATCATGACATAATCAGCTTGAATGGTCATTTCTCCAGACCATTCCTTCATTCCTTCCTTTTCCTGGCCTCTTAAAAAAGGAGAGAAGAAAGACAGCTTCCTTTAACCATGCATGGCATTAAACTTTTCTCAGAGTCACGTGAAGTGGAACATAAATCTGAATTCAAATACATCATTACCTAAACACTTGGGAAAACAATGTTAAAACAAAATGTGACATATTTACATGATTTTGTAAGTGCAAACTTGTCACAAATTCACAAAGTCTTGCTTGACCTAGACTTACTATACAAGGTGCTCTTCCTCTAAAATATAAGATCTGTACTCTGTATTCCTGATTAAGTAACGTCTCTTAAGACAACTGAAACCTACTTAATTTATTTCTGTGATTCCGAAAGGACGCAAAAAACACATCTCATCAACCCTTCCCTCCCTGCCTCCTTTACAGCATGTTCTCTTTCTAGTCTCGTTACCGAACGACAAGGCAGGAGACACACAGTTTCGAGGGGCCAATGCAATCATCGTGGCAGAATGCTCCACACCCCTTGCACATGATCATGGCTTTCAATCGGCAGTAACATTTCGAAGGTGTGTCCTCTATGCTGTTCTCTTCAGGAAAGGCCTGAACAGGAATGGTCTGGCCATGGCTGCTGGGATTCATCGCTTGGCTAGCAGGGATAGTAGTGACAGTCACTGAAAAGGACATGACATCACCTACATTGCTAGCAACCTGGCTACAGTCAGGCATCCCCGGGACAGCAGAGTTACGGTCCATGTCAGACGAGGTGGAGACATTGATCATGCCTCTATAGCTTGGCCCGATCTGGGTGGGGCTTCCATACAGCTTCGGGGTTTGCAGTGGTGGAAGGAGGAGAGGCTGATGGGTGGGACTGTCTGCAGTCAGAGGAAGAGCAGTAGAACTGAAAAGCTCAGGGCTGCTACGCATCGTCTTGCCTCTCACTGCATGAGCCATTTGTTTCTGTGCTGCCTGAATAAAATCTCTGGCTAGGGTCTTTTCATCAAATGTTTGGCCTCTCGTGAACAGGTAATTCTCCTTGCTTAAAGCGGTTTGCTCATGCACTGGTGTCTCCGCCTTCACATTCTTTTTTGCTAAACAATCATTGGTGGCTAGGGCTTCTCTGCTGTGGGGTCCCGAACTTGCTTCACACTTGCCAGGGCCCTGGGCAGCCTGGGGCTCCTCCTTCACCATGATGGATTCTTGCTCATCACTGGTACTTTCCTCATCGGTATCTTCTTCTTTGCCACTGCTACTATCTCCTGTTGCATTTTTACAGTCTGTGTATCCCATTTTCAAGGCCTCCGTGGGGCTACTTAGACACAAACGGTCTTCAGGGTTTATAGAATGGGTCCTCCTAAAGCTCTCTGAACCCCGGCCATAGGTGGAAATGTTAAGTAAATAGTGACCTGCCATTGCAGGCTTCGATGTCCTTCTGCCAGCAAAACCCAGCATGAACCTCTGGCTTGTGGAGATGTCTTCCAACTGGAAACCTGAGTGAGTGAAGTTGAATTGGGAGGGCTGCACAAATGGGAGAACGTTCTGCCTCCGAACCCTTTGGATGAGAGTCTGAAGGATCTGCTCTTGGGTGGCTTTGCTTAGTCCTTCCTGGTACTGGTGTGTGTCAATGCTAGAGTCCCTCAGTTCCTTACCTGAAAAGAGCTGAAGGGGTCTTGGAACCTGGGGGAGCTGCTTACTTTGCAAGGCTTTCCCCAGCTGCTGCAGAGCTGGGTGGGACTGCCTCTCACCACCTTCCTCTCTGATGCTGTTTTCTGCAGCACCAGTGCCTGTGAGCACTCCTGTCCCCAGCTCCTCTTTCGTGGTCAGTGGAACAGTTTTCATTTCAACTTTGGTGAGAGGTTTAGGCAGAATTTGCTCCATGGGAACATCTTTGCCCTGAAGCAGCTGAGTGACCAAAGGGTTATTCGCAGGGATACTAGAGCTTGGCCTTGGCATGGGTCCATTCAAATTTGAAGAAGTTCCTGGAGTTTTAAGGCTAGAAGCTACTGGCAAAGTGCTCGAGGACGGAGCTGATCCCGGAGGCCCTACGCTTACACTGACCTGGGGTACAGGAAGCTTTTCTAAAGCGGCGGCGGTCAACAACGATGTTAAAGGAGAGGGAGTCACAGCCGCTGAAGTACTAGCGGTTGTCTCCGCTGAGGCCGAAGGGTCTGGCATATTCCTACCAGAACCTGCTCTGGGCTCGACTGTGCCATCGGCTGCAAAACGAACAGGTGGGGAGGCATCTGAGATGAGAGCGGAACCCGCCGGAGTAGAAGGCGCCTTCTCCGGTCTGCAGGTCCCGGGGCCTTGTGGGTGGGGGAGAGAGGCCACTGCGGCTGCTGCCCTAGGGGGATGCGGGGGTTCGTTAGCCGGCTTCCCTACAGCTGGTGGGGGCGCGTCAGTGTGGGCTGGTGAGGGGGCCCTTGCGCCGGCTCCACCGCTGGCAGAGGTTGGAGGCACCGAGGGGGTTTGCTGTAATTGTGCTCCAGAGACACCATGAGGCTGTGCCTGGTCTGGGCTCTCGGTCTCAGACTGGGGCTGAGTCTCTGGCCCACAGGGTAAAAGCTCTCTCGTACCTCCCCCGCTTCCAGTTCCTGCCAACTCCAGGGTGGGGCCCTCTCCAGGTTCGTGGCCTCTGTCTGAGCCTGGCCTCCCTCCTCCAGCGGTTTTGCTGTCACCGCCCTCTCCTGGGCCTTGTCCGCCCCCGGGGCCAGGTCCTGGAACGGTCCCTCCAACTGAGGCCGCGGCGGCGGCGGCGGCGGCGGCTGCAGCGGCGGCCGCCCTCTGTGCTTTGACCAGCTGGGCTTTTGCTTTGATGTCTGCAAGAGTTCTGGCTCCTGTTCTGTTAGGACTAGTGATGGAGACTGGAAAACGAGCCCTGGGAGAGACCTGCGATGTAGGAAAAGGCATGGGGGAGATTCTGGAGACCGGGATCTGAAAGAAGGAGGGAGGAAAAAAACCCAGAGCTTAGTTTTCATTGACAAGATAAGCAGAACTTCCCGAACACTTGAATTGTTGCGGTAACCGCTACACCCCAGTCACAGAGATGGGGGGGTCACGGCTGAGAGACCAAAGCGTGGAGACAGCAACGTGACTGTGTCTCTAGGGTCCTTCCACCTCCGCTACTGGTGCCAAAGCCTCTCCTCCCCCAGCATCCTCTCTGCCCCAAATCCCCTTCTCAACACAACTCCCTCCTAATGGCATTACTACTCACAACTGCTTATTACTTAAGCTACAGACCTTGCGGGGTATTTGCACTTTCGAATGTGTGTGAGAGAGAAGAGGCATACCACTGTCTTTTTCTTCTTAGCTCTCCTTCCAAGCTCCGAGGAGAATTCTTGCTCTCTTCTGCTCTACGCACACATGCACGCGTAAGCACTCAGGCTGAATTATCTCAATGACAGAGGCGTCTAGATAGCACTGGAAGGTAGACAGTGTGTGATCCATAGATGCATCCCACTCCGTCCGTCCACACAAGGGAGTATGTACATAATGTATACAGTGTTCACTACACTCATTTTCATCCCTGGCTGGCTTTATCCTTACTTGGGGAGCTGGTTAAAAATATATGTGCTCTGGGGGCACCTGGGTGGCTCAGCTGGTTAAGCGACTGCCTTAAGCTGAGGTCATGATCCTGGAGTCCTGGGATTGAGTCCTGCATTGGGCTCCTGGCTCGGCGGGGAGCCTGCTTCTCCCTCTGACCCTCTCCCCTCTCATGCTGTTTCTCTCTCTCTCAAATAAATAAAATCTTAAAAAAAAAATTAAAAAAAATATATGTGCTCCGGGTCCTATCCCCAAATTGACAAATTAGAACTCTAGAGAAAATATGCTTTTCTGAAACACTTCCTGGGAGTTTGAAACCGCTGATTTTCATACCATAAAATACTGTATCTGAAAGGAATCAGACTCCTATTTGAAACAATACTTTGGAAGCTATCAGAGCTCAATTAGAATGCATCAAAGTCTGGACCCTTCTAGTAGTGGCCAGAACTTAAAGGAGCAAATAACGGTTACAGATTTTCTAGGGCATTTAATTAAAAAAAAGAAAAATTAAGCCACAGGGCTCTAAGAAAAATGCATGTTATCTTTCTGGAACTCCTTAAGAATAGTAAAGTCACTAAAAATTTTTCATTATTTGCAATATCCATTTCTCAAAAGGTCAGTAGTCCTGAGAAACAGATTCTCTGTCCTTCAGAAGTCAGAGCTGTGGGACTGTCACAGGCGTCACACAGTCCACACGTCTCACGTCAGAAGATGTACCTCATCTCTCTCTTAAACACTGAGAGTCTCTTTTACATCTAACTGCACAGTATTTTAGAAGCTACCAATAGAGGGAAAGAAGCAATTGTTGCCCCTTGGTAATATCACCTAGAAGAGACCCCTAGGACGGGGAGAAAATAGGTAAAACCAGAAAATTAAATCCAAGAAAGTAAAAGCACAGTTGTTTAGGGGAATTGTATATAGGGACAAACAACCTTACATCAGAATAATCTTGAGAATAATAACATAACTAGCAGAATAAATAATATCTATTGTAATGACTGAAAATCATTACTAACATGTTGATGAATTCATTAAAAGTGGTTCTAATAAAAGTCTTAATACATAAAAATAATAAGTTTCAGTTATTTATGTAAATAGCTCTATTACCTGCTTATGTGGAATAAATGAGATGTTACATCTGTAAGCACTAAGGGCTCAATGTTGTCCGGGCACTGGTAACAACTTAACACCAAGAAGCGCTATCCTGGTAGAGCAAGGTAAATTCTTCTCATGTATACTGAACAGATGGGGCGCCTGGGTGGCTCAGTCAGTTAAGCATCTGCCTTCAGCTTGGGTCGTGATCTCCAGGTCCTGGTATGGAGCCCCGCATCGGGCTCCCTGCTCAGTAGGGAGTCTGCTTCTCCCTCTCCCCCACCACCATCCACAGCCCTGCTCCTGTTCCCACTTGTGTTCTCTCTCACTCTCAAATAACAAAATCTTATAAATAAATAAATAAATAAATAAATAAATAAAATAATAAATAAATGAATGAATGAATGAATGAATGAATGGATACCAAATAGGAAACACAGTTTTCCATCCCCCCCGTACATATTGTTACAGATATCCATGTTGTAACATGCGCACACATATGCATGTATATAACTTACATATACACACATGTATAACATTTGTAATAAAATTAAAATTTTATTTTTCTACTTAAGTTTTAGTTAAAAGATTTTGCTCTATTATAAATTACATTAAGTTCTGTCTAAGAAAGTGGGATTTGAGATACGGCCTAAGGTAAGAGCTATTAAAGCAACTTCTGGTAGAAAATATTCTGTGGGGGAGTGGAGGGGGACGAGGAAGGAGAAGCAAAAGGGAAAAAATTAAATAACAATAACACAGTCACGGTAGACTTAAGTTTTCAGTGTGGAGCCTCTCTGGATTAGAGAAAGCAGACCAAGTGGCATATAATTCAGCCTCTATACAGATGAGGAAAGAGAAATGACGAATCTTACCCAGTATCATTTATATAAAGTAAAACCCAAAATGTAACTCGGCTCTCGGGTCTGCATAGAAGTTCTGACTGACATTCATTACAGAAAGGTTTCTAATATTTTTATAACAGTAAAAGTGGGGGAAAAAATTAAGTGATTTTCATAAAAAATCACAATCTCTGGCAAAGCATGCAAGGTATGTTAATGGTAGAAAAGTGGCAAACATTTTTTAAAAAGGGAGATTCCTAGGTGCACAAATCTTAAAAAGTAATGAGAATGTCATACAATTAGTAGCAGACGCAAAATGAGAGAGAAATACATAATAAATGAAATGGGTCAAGTACTAGCAACTGAATGTTTCTAAGGGATATTTCCTGATGGAACTAACTTTGGTTCATCTAAGATAAATAAAAAAGGGGGAAAAAGTATTTCTATGTGACTTTTTTTCTATTTATATCCTAACGTGAATGAGTAATACCCAGTGCCTGCGCGCATAGTAGACACAATAGTATTAATGAATACCATTAGTAAAAATTTATTAACATATACTATTTATTAAGTGAATAAATGAACTGCAAACTGCTATTAAGCGCAAGCCCAAGTATTAGTAAACCTTTAGATCAGAAGTAAAAATGTGTTTGGGTTTTAAAGGGCTCACTACTGGTTAGATGCAGTCTTTATATACACTAAGATAAGGATACTGCTTTATGAATGTGAAAGATTTGATAAGCAGCAACAGAATGCTAACATGGAAGTCAGTGACACAGCCTGAGCTGGAGAGCTTAACAAGGCTACTCCACCTTCCTAATGTCCCTCAAGTAACCAGCAGTGACCCACGGCAACCATAGAGGTTTCCTTTAAAAAGATGGAACTAAAGGTAGTTCTAGAACCAAAGAACATCAAATCAGTTATGGCAGTTAAGAAAAGGGCCAGGGTACACTTAAATATCATGGCTCTTGCCACAAAAAAGCCAATGGCTTCCTTCTGTTCATTTTATTTCTTATGTTGTCACATGAGACAGAATAATTTCCATAACTATCTTAGGATGTAAGAGCAGCTAGCAGGGAGGGCGGGTGGAGGTGGTCTAATTAATTAGCTACCCATTACTTACTCAAACACTAATAAAGATCTGTAGGAATGCAGTTCTAAATGCCTGTTTATTAATAATTTTGCTCATGTAAGAACACAGTTACAGGCTTATCACATACATACAACTGCTTCTGTGTTAAGAAATACCACAAATGACTTGAAATTTAATAAGTAAGACCAGAAACTTAGTGTTCATGCATCCTCTCTTTTTCAATTCTTCCCACTCTCTTACCTTGAGAGGTGGTACTTTTCGCACCTGGATCCTGTCCCCTCTACTGAGAAAGGGCTGTGGCGAGACTTGAAATGGCTGCTGGTACTGGCGATTCTCCGTGACACGGGGCCTTTTCTCCCAGCTCACGGGGGCCTCTTCTTGGATGAGACAAGATTTCCTCTTGAGGCTTTCTGGGCTGTGATCAACCAGAGCTGATGGAGGTTCTTTCGCAGTGATATCCTGGGGACCTGCTTCTGCCATGGGCTTTATTACTGGTTTTTCCACCCCAGGACTCTTAGGTTTGTTTGGGGATGTAACTAAAGCTTCTTGGCCTTCATCTTTGTTATAATTAGAAACTGTAGTGAGATGATTCTCCTTCTCAGACTCCTGTTCAGCAGAGGCAACTGGCTTCTGCTCCAAGAGATCATCATCCTTTGGGCACTTGATGGGAAGAATGCTGCTAAGCTCTTGTGTATTGCTTGCTGAGGGAAGTAGGGGCTCTGTGGATTTGGGGTTTGGCTGCACCATATCTTGGCTTTCATGCTCTTCTTTTCTTCCTGGGGATGGCATTTGCACCACTTCTTCTTTAGACCCTAACTGGGGAATTACTGGGACTATACTGACAGGTGAGGCCTCTGAAGGGAGCATGGATTTTGGTTGCTCAGCTGGGGTTTTCTTTACTTTGAGATCGCTGGGCGAGGCTGTCAATTTCTTTGAATCCTCAAGGCTCAGACCAGAACTAAAAGGTGGAAGAAAAAAATATTCTAGTTGAAAAATGGCCTATGTTATTGAAAGCGTTAGGAGATAATAGTATATGGCAATGCCCAGAAGAAACCCTGACATATAGTAGGTATTCCTCATATATCATCACTATTATTATCATTAGTAGTGAAGTTCTGGAGTTCGAGTGCCTGGATGCAAATCCTGGCTCTGATACATCCATGTGACATTAAGTAAGTCACTAGTCTTTTGTATCTCAGTTCTTCATTATATACTGAGGTTCATCACTTTATACTGTTGGTGTGATTAAATTATGCATATAAAGTCTTGGAACAGTACTTAGCACATATTAAAGCTCAATAATGTTAATTATCATTATTACTTATGTTTATTAAGAAGGGCTACCTTGTTTAGAGGCAAACATCACAGACTACCCACAAGGGAAGTG